GATAGATCTGGCCGAATTTCACCACTGGTTGGGTCTAATCAAAACTTTTGACCCAAGGGGTCCTTGGTGCTCTCTGAGCTTGCTTGTTTTCTTGCAAATGTTTCATTACTCAAACTAGGCAACATCATCAGCACTAGCACTGAAGAAGTTACTTATTTGGGTAATGAAACATCTGCAAGAAAACAAGCATGTTCAGAGAGCATGAACTCTCTCATGTCAACCCTGAGCTACAAATATCCTTCTTCATTAGTAAAACTTCTGACCATTTACATATAATTCCAGTGCTTAAAAATAACAAAATTGGACATGAAGTTCCACCGTGTAATTTCATTTGGAGGGAGGAAGAGGAGAAGGAAGTTAAAAGAAGTATTTGTCAAATACTTTTTTTTTTTTTTTTTTTGTCAATACAGCCATATAAAAAAATTGCAAGCCATCCAACGGAATAATTGATGGGCCAGGAGGAAAAAGTTCCATACAAAATGCTTTTATTTATCCTTCATGCCTCCATTCAGATATTTATACCAATGCATACATTTAAAAGTTTAAATTCTATTTCAATTCACAGCTCAAGTCATAGGGAAGTGGAATACATAAGAGCAAATGCACCAACAGAATTAGGTCTGAGACACCATTAAAAACGTTAATACTTGTTCATGAAGTTAAATTGTCTGCTGATGGGTCTTTAGAGGGAATCCCTGTTACGATGGTCATTGGGCAAACAAACAAACAAACCAAAAATAAAATTCACCGTTTTACAGTAAAGAAGAGAAAAAGCTCTGAGTATATTTACAATACATACACTATACATAAATACAAGAATGACACGTACATAATCATTGATAAACTTATAACGTAGGCGCTGTTTAGCTGCTACATAGCATAGAACATGCAGGAAGAAAGTATTGGGAAATCAAAGGCCTTCTTTTTTTTTCCTCCGGGAAAAGAAAAAAATGTCGGCTCTTAAAATCGTTTGTAAAACAACAAAGGAAAAAGGAAGGAGCTGTAGTTTTGTTGCTAGTACTGGCACAGCTAATAATTGGGTGGACTATTTTGGGATGAATGGATGGACAGACTCTTGCATTAATAGCCAATGTCTGATCAATCGGATGTCTGGATAAAGATTAATAAGTTGCAATGCCTTTTCTGTCCTGGGTGATGTTATGGACTCTCCATTGGGACTTCCTCACTTTCAAATCACTTTACATTGTTCTTGCCTTTGCTGGTGTGAGAAAAACCTACTCTCCTTAAAGCAAAGGTGCCTGTCAGCCTTGGCCAGCATGCTGGTGGTGGTGGAGAAGGGCAGCTGAGGTTCAGTGTCACCTGTAGAACCAGATGCCCACTCTAAAAGGATAAAGCTCCAAGTTTTCTTCCACATACACATAGCAAAAGAAAACTATGGATGGTAGGGCCCCGGGGAGGCCTTTAAAATGGAGAATCTCTCCAGATAAGCCAAGTCCATCTTACTGATTCTACCATGAATGCTACGCTCAACATCCTCCTTGCCTCTTTGAAGTCCCATGCTGGCAAAAAAAAAAAAGTAGACACCCAAGGAGCTGAATTTAGAAAAGTCTGCAAGTGGATTTCCTTACAAGAACCGGGTGGAGAATGGAATCACCTTGGAACACTACTTTACAGAACTGGATTTATTTATTTATTTTTAGACACCTTCTGCTGGGTTGTGCTTTGTCTAGTCAAGAATGGTGCCGGGGAATGTCCTGTGGAATTGGGCTCCAAATGTCCACATAAAAGCTCCAGAACAAGATTTAATAAGATTTGGAAGGTCACAGTGCTTTTATGCAAAAAAACAAAACAAAACAAAAACAAAACTTTTGGGTCCAGATGTCTCAATGAAACTGGAAAAACGCCTCTGTCAAAAGATGGAGAGGCACACAAATCAAGCTCCTTCCATATAAGGCACCCTCATTTATTTTTTCTGTACAGAAGAAACATTAAGGGAGGCGTCCACAGGAGCTGATAAAAAAAAAAAAGGCAATATGGTGGCCACAACAATGCGATCAACATTCCACCTTTTGTGTGGACAACCCTGGTCAAAAGCCACCAATGATTTTTACAAGCTTTGGAACAAGCTACGTTCCATTTTCCGTGAGGCCTTATTTGTACAAACAAACAAGACGGTGAAATGAAATACAAGGGAAAAGGGGATCACTTTGTATACATACCAGTAGTAAGCCAGCAAAATTAGACAAGAAAAAAATAACAACAGTTTCTATTTATCCTGTGAGATAATGACCTTTGCCCTCCCCCCCAAAAATATGAAATGGCCAAGAGTCGTTCATAATATTAAGACAGCTTTTTAAAAAAATATTCGTTCCTTCCCAAACACAAAGCTAGAATTAGCCCTGTAAAGTTACTAACTCTTGACAATTATTTCATTTTTAAGATGCTAGAGAAAGGGATTTTAGTAAACTGAGGAAAAAGAGGATTTATCTGGCAGTATTTTATCAATTGTCTTCTCCATTGGAATACATGATTCTTACTCCTTGAGTTGGCATTGGTAAGGTTCTGCTGGAAGTGGAAATCGACAGAACCCATGAAAGTGAATCAAAAGTGAGTTCTTGTCCCAAAATAAACTGGTCATCCGAATGAAGGGCAACTGGATTTCATGCCAGCTACTAGGTGGCTGGAAGTGAAAACGGCCATTTTGTGCAAGCCGTTATTTTTGCAGGAGTGAGTTTTAAGGGTGGCCTACAATGACTGGGTTAGTCTTCAGGACCGGCCGATTTGACAACATTAAAAAAGACTTACTAAGAAGAGCGAGAAATGAAAAGAATTAGAAATGACACACATCCACTGTTTAGTATGACCTGATGCTTATGAAAAAACAAACAAACAACCTTTTCTCTATTTGCTTTCGTCTTCTAACTCTATGGAAACCCCATCCATCTCCTTGGGTTAACACTGTCACACAGAAGGAAGCAGAGAAATGGCACTTGGTGATTTGCTGTGTTGCATTGACAGGGACGCCCCCCCCGGGTAATTTCCCCTCCCCCTCCCTCCCCCTTGAAAACAATCTAGGACAATTCAGCTGCATTTTTATTGCTTCGTAAAAAGAATAGGGTTCATCCCCATCTGATCTATTGTTCATAGACAGGCACTTTTCAAATGACTTCACCTATGTAGATTGTTAAGTGTTCCCGAAGAAATTTGTTAACCGATAGTCATTACTGTTATTGTTATTGTTGTTATTATGGAATCCATGCATTGATTTGCTGAGTTACAAAAGAGTGGGTCTTTCTATGCGAATCTTTACCTATAGGATTGTATGCGAGCTGTGCATAATTTCAAAGCATACCTCCTCCCTCTTTCTGAGGGAGAACAATTCAAGATCTGAGCCTACAAATGAAGCTACTCTGTTTTAATCTTTATTTAAATGAGCTTGGGAGGTACCTGCACTGTGTCTCAAAGCAGCTGTGATGTGAACTAGCTAAGAATCCATTTGCTTTTCAGATCTAAGACTTTCTTCTGCCCGTGTCAATTTTGCAGATCGGTGTACCGAAGAAAACCCAGAAGAATAATGATTATTAAAAAGTCCACCGTATTCTACAATAAAAATTATGCGGCCTCAATACAACCATCTTTCCAAATAACTGATCAAAACCTGTGGGTCTTCAAATGTGCAACAGATTTGATTCTACCTTGTCTCTGAGGTCCATTCACCTCTCTCTCTTTCCAGTTACTCTGGTCTAGAGCCAGCAACGTTTGAAAAACACGGTCTTTGTTTGGGGCAAGATCACATATCTACCGTGTGGACTGGCCAGCCTCCAATGGACTTAACTGGAGTATAGGTCTATTATCTTCAATTCATCTGACAATTCGTTGAATTATCTTCAATTCGTACGTTCTAGAAAACCTGCTTGTAAAAACAGAGATATGAATGACACTGCTATTGACTGTTTATAATTGGAAGACATCAGAGGCAAAATGACTTCCATTCCTCCATCATCATCCCTTTCCATTTATTTCCTTTGTTTGATCATCAGATGAAGATTACAGGAGCTAAGCATTTCCAGTAGAGTTCTGCCTACTACTTTGGATGGACTTGAATTCCCTTCATCAGGTGGATGCTACCTGGCCTCTCTCAACTGCATAACTACAGCTCTCTCCTCCCAGATGTTTGCGTGTCCATGTACCTAGTGAGAAGGAAAGCGTGTCACACCCAACTGATGACAGGACTCTAAATTTCCCAAAGCTGGTAATAACAGATCAACAGAATAACAGTTGGAAGGGACCTTGAAGGTCTTCTAATCCAACTCCTTGCTCAAGCAGGAAACTCTGTACTATATCAGACAAATGGCTGTCTGAAATCTCTTCTTAAAAACCTCCAGTGTTGGAGCATTTACACCTTCTGGAGGCAAGCTGTTCCACTGATTAATTGTTTTAACTGTCAGGAAATCTCTCCTTAGTTCTAGGTTGCTTCTCTCCTTCATCAGTTTCCATCCATTGCTTCTTGTCCTGCCTTCAGATGGTTTGGAGAATAGGTTGACCTCCCTCTTCTTTGTGGACATCCCTTAGATATTGTAACACTGCTATCATGTCATCCCTAGTCCTTCTTTTCATTAAACTAGACATGCTCACTATGAGATCTTTGCTGGTAAGGTTGGAAGGTTAAGCTTAGATTTTATTGTGTTAAAGAAAAGTCAAAATTAGGTACTCCTGAAGGATCGAAGAGGCTACATTATACTTGACAATGTGCACAGTATATCCATTATTTGTTTGAACATAGAATTCCCACTACTGCCACTGCGCTGTCCTATTTCCAGTCTCAATAGGTCCATGTTTCAAAGCATTGTTGTTTTGGAATAACTTCAGGGAAACTGAATTTCTTTGAATTTAGCTTTATGTTTTGACAAGTTTTTTTTTTTTTTCGGGTGAGCTTATGGAAGTTAAATCTGATTCTTTCTACCATTTACTGACTCTATCTCAAATAACCAGGTGGTAGGGACACACGACACAAAAGGAATAGGCTTTGACAAACTAGAACAATCTTTCCTGCTTTGTTTTTTTTTTTTTTTAACTGTTCATTGTGTCATGAAGATTTTACACTGCATTTTTTGGAGCATATTCTTGCTGATGACAACCAAAACTTTGTTTCAAAACACTTTTCATTTCCATTATTTACATCCTGTGAAAAACTGTCCCGCTTGAAAATACTTCTTCACTATAACATATATATTACAGAATATTGTAACTTTTACAAGTCTGGTAAAATACTTTCCATTTGATTTTCTGGATTGTTTTCCCTCCCCCCCCCCTGTATTTTTATAAGATGCAGTATCCATATATTTGAAGTTCATACTAAAAAAAAAAAAATGAAAGAAAATGAACAGGTTACTGCAATGAGTTTGATATCAACATATGGAAAAGTTTCAACGGGCTTGACCTATTGAGTAAACTATGCACAGTTACAGATATTTTAATGAAATTGTGAAAATATAGCAGTCTTAAATGTATACATCTTCATCTATAAAACACAGGCAAAGGCATAATACAGGAATTACAAGCTGGTTTCCGAATAGGAGAGAATTATGCCTATAGAAGAGCTAGTTCCAACTTCTGTTGGGAAGCCATATTGAAACTTAATTCAGATCACACACATGCAAATAATCAGCAATGTGCACACATGAGGGACACTGGACATTTTAATGAGGGTACCCACTCTCCATTATGCTTAGAAATCAGAGCATTTGATAGCTCTTTCAGAAAACATTGAAAGGGATAATAAAGATATTAGCTGGCATACCCAACAAAACCAGAAAAGATTCATTATTTATCTTCCTCCAAGAATTAAACTGTTATCAAACACATCCTTATACAAACATAGATCTCCATAATGTATTGCTTCAGCCTGATTCTGGGATGCTCGTTGACATAAATACAGGTAGTCCTCGATTTACAACCAAAATTGAGCCCAACATTTCTGTTGCTAAGTGAAACAGCTTGTTAAGTGAGTTTCCCCCCATTTTACAACCTTTCTTGCCACAATGGTTAAGGGAATTACGGCAGTTGTTAAAGTGGTAACACGGTTCTTAAGTGAATCTAACTTCTGCATTGATTTTGCTTGTCAAAGGTCGCAAAAGGGAATCACATGAGCCCAGACACTGCGACAGTCATAAATATGAGGCAGTAGCCAAGCATCTGAATTTTGATCACATGACCATGGGGAACAGTCGTAAACGTGAAAAACGGCCATAAGTCCCTTTTTTCAGCCCCATTGTAACTTTGAAGGGTCGCTAAATGAACCATTGTAAGTTGAGGACTATCTGTATCACCATACCATGGATCCATTTATGCAAGGAGTCTTCTCCCTTCTCAACATCAATACACCACCGGCCCCTTGATATCAGATTCATTTGACGATTTCATTCAAGTAAACACAATGCGGGAATACTGCTTCTTAATTCTGAAGTGGCAATGGGCCCTTTGCAAAGGGCTGGATACTTTTTAAATAAGTGGGTACGTAACGAGCTCAAGAATACAACACTGCATTGCGTTGGGATGAACCTCAGTTGTAACTTCAGAGCGGCACCTGTAAGATCTTGCTCCTTTCATCAGCATCAGCGGTGCACAGACTCCTCCCATTTTGGGCAGGCGACTGATGATGCACGAAAGGGGCGGGGTTATATTATGATGTGACCAATCTGCTTTCATCAGTCTGATCTTCCTTGCCTGGACCCCACAGATATGACTGGAAGATAATTGGGTGAGTTGCTTCCTGTTTGCTTGAGAAATTGCATCTCTATGGTGAACATTTGTCCAGTAATCGTGAGATGTCCTAGAGCGCATTCAGTATAGGTTGAATCTCCAGTATGCCTAACAGAGAGCAGGGCATTCAATCTTCCTCTGGCACCAGAGATATTGACCATGTGACATGATGCTCTGGAATGCAGCAATTTCCCCCAGAGTCAACGGACAAGCATGGTGAATTTTCATGACTGAAGGGGAACAGATCTTGAACAGTCCTTCCAACTGCCTTGAAACAATCTTGGAGAATCCACTTTAATTTGTGGGGTTCAATGTGCTAGCATTCCATCATAATTTATTATTTTTTTTTAAATCTGTCCATTAAGTGGGGTTTAATTGCTGTAATTTCTGAACAGGAGAATGCATTCATACACAGCAGCATTTCTGAAAATTGCAAAATTCTGAACCAAATAATCCAATTTGTAAAGTTTTATGTGAGGTTTTTACACACGGTTTTTAATTCCCTTTGAAGCAATGTAACCATCAGTAGCATGACAGGAAAAAAAAAAGAGAATTCCCCTTTTCTGTTTTAACAAACAGATAACTGGAAAAGAGATGCGGTTGCATCATATTGTCATTCCTAATGGAATTTTATTCTGGTGGGGAGCTACTTTTAACAGTAGTGCTAAGGAAAGAAATTAGACACCTCCACATTTTCCTTTGTGAAGGCAATTTGCTTGCCTGCTAATTAATCTGCCTAAGAGAAACGGTTCTTCCAAAATAACACTGCCTTTGTTCATGGAAAAGTTCCAATACTGAAATCTATTGAACCATCAGGATAGATGGGCTAATAAAATGGTATGTGGGAGATAACGCTGGCATTAAACGGTTTGCATGAAAGGCAATCTTTCTACAGTACGCTGCAGCCGCAGTGAAAGAAAATCCATAAACGTTGGAACAACGGCAGCCGAACAAGAAAAAACAGGCATCGAAAAGAATCCTTACAATATGGGTTAGTCAAAATAGTTCCCACTCAACAGGCCTCCCTCAGAATGAGGCACGTAAATTTCTAAAAATGAAGAGGAGTATCAGAACTGTTCAATGCTTTGGATTCCATCTCCAGGAAGAGTTGGAGGTTGTGAATGTTACTCCTGCCTGCCACACCTTGAGTCAGATGGATCCAGGTGTTTTAAGGTAGGCAGACGGTGTAACTTCTGTGTGCTCTGAAGCACCTCTTGGAGGCTGAATGTGAAGCACGGAACAGCCCTACAAAGGTCAACTCCCTAGAGAACCAACCAACCATTTTGACACCCTGTTTCCAAAGGTTCCCTGTGCTCAGGTAGGCCATGATGAGGATAACTCCCTGTCAGGTCTCTAAAACTAAACTAGGCCCCAGTTTGGAAGATCTATGGACAAGCATGAGCTGATGACAGACTGGCCTTTACATCCTTTGTCTTTGACTCAGTCTTGAGGAAGAAGGAAGCAGAGAACTGTGGGAAAAGAAAATTAGTCCTTCCGGTCTAATTTCTTTAGAAATTGTCGATTGCGCAGCCAAGGAGAATAGGAAAGCTGCTAATTGTTATATTGAATTAGAGGGTGGCAATGAAATGGTGACTCTGTTGTTTGATATGCATATTTTTTTCTCTAAACCGTTTGGGCAACTGTTGCTTTTCAAGGACCAATACGACTCGAAAGATCATTTCCTATTAATTATGAGATGAACTGATTAGATCAAGATGTGATCCGATGAGATTAATCTATGCAGATTTGAACCAATGCTTCCTGATTAAACGCTTAGGAAATATCTCTAAGTAAAAATTAAGCAATGGAGCTCCCTTCCAATTTCTCTTCTCTGAAAAAAGAAGAAAGGAAACACAGAGGAACGTCTGATGGACCACAGCATCGGTCTCCTTCTCATAAAAGAGAAGTCTATGTTCCTAGTGAGCAAATCTCCCACTGGAACAGGATCACATCTCTCTTTCTTGGATATTAGCTCAAAAGACCTCAGCTCTACAAAGGCAAGACGATACTGATTTTTGGGAGACAGAAAAAGACTCCTCTAGGAATTCCTGGCCATCATTCCTAACTTAATTTGGTCTATGATGAAAAGTCGGTCAACCTACTAAGTCATAAGAGTTGACTTGGGAATGAACCAGCTAGAAGAGCTCTTGAATTTAAGAGGAGGTTAAGCAATAGAACGAGCAGAACTTGTAAACACCTCCCAAGTTCAGCTGAAACCTGCCCGCTGGTGTGGATAGAAAAATGCCCCCAAGACCTCTGCAGTCTGAATGGACTATTTCTGGACTGGCTACTACTGGCTACACAGAGTTATTTTAAAAGTGTACAACTGGATCTCAAGATCAATGCTACTGGCACAGGATGCTTTGATTCTGCTCCTCTGTTCGATAAATGACGAATCCCTGACTGGCTGAAATAGCTTACATATTTTAGATGCTCAAGAGGATGAATGATTTCAAATAAATCTACAAATATACTGTCATAAAAGATGGAGTGCAGGTAGTCCTGGACTTATAACCGCAATTGAGCCCAACCAAGTAAAACATTGGTTAAGTGAGTTTTGCCCCGTTTTACGACCTTCCTCGTCACAGTTGTTAAGTGAATCACTTCAGTTAGTAACACGGTTGTTAAGTGAATCTGACTTCCTCCATTGACTTTTCTGGCCAGAAGGTCACAGAAGCGGATCACATGACCCCCAAAGGCACTGCAACCGTCATAAATATGAGTCAGTGGACAAGCGTCTGAATTTTGATCCTGCGACCATGGGGATGCTACAATGATTGTAAGGGTAAAAAACGGTCATAGATCCATTTTTTCAGTGCCATTGTTAACTTCAAACGGTCACTAAATAACTGTTGTAAGCCGAGGACTACCTGTATTGCTTTAATATTTCCTTTCGTTTTTGACAACGAGGTTCAGGTGTTCATGTAGCATTTTATAATGCATCATTAATTTCTTCTAACCTCATCATGCTCTCAAGGGCCCTAATTAGCAAACTCTTCTAGCTCAAGACAACTATGTCTTCTACCAACAGGGAATTAGAACCAGCTAGTTGGGAACAGAGAACTTAAGCTGCCTACCCTGACGCTGATAATTTGTATACCCAAGATAATCTGCATCAGGGTTCTCCCACTTTGGCAATTTTAAGACTTGTGGGCTTCAACTCCCAGAATTCTGCAGCTGGCCATGCCAGCTGGGGAATTCTGGGAGTTGAGGTCCCCAAGTTTTAAAGTTGCCAAGGTTGGAGAGCCCTGATCTACATGGCTGTGTGAGCAGCTCAGATGAAAGGATTATGGGTTGATGCTGTACATCTGCATGTATGTATTTGAGCTGTGGTGGGTTGGCCTGAGTTGGCCATCCATTCCTTCTACACTATTTCCAAAGGCCCAGTTGGATGAACAGATGGTTACCACTTGATCTTCAACCATCTTGATTAAGACTGACAAACCAGAACTGTTGCTTCACATTTAGTTACTTAGACAAAGTGGCCCACAAAAATGCTTACTCATTTACGTCAAGTCTGCCTCATCTGTTGTATCTAGAGCAAAGGAGCAGCCGTTTCTAGCCTGGATGACCAAAACAGGTGCAGTGGTTGGCATTTCTTAGGGAGATTTCAAGAGAAGGACGCCCACTCTTTCACTTCCTTCTAAAATCCTTTGGAATCAGTTTATACCATCTCTAAAAATGGTTCCCTGATATGCATGGGGAACCATTGGCCCCATCACCCCCTACCTATTTCAGGAATGCCTGACTGTGGTGGTTTGTCTAATCACCTTGGCCTCTGCCCAGCCCAACCCAAATTAACGATGACTAAGTCTCACTGGCCCCGTATCGTAACTCCATGGAGTTAGTTTAAAATTATTCTTGCCAGACCTTCATTTTAGGAATGGGAAGTACTTGGAGAGAGCTCTTGAAATTCTTTCTCAATGCTCTTCTTTATTCAGATGCATTAAATTCCCTTTTGGTCACAGAAGATGTTCACTTTAAAACTTAAGACGTTACAATCCTAAGCACAATTCTACCGCAGGGGTCAACTCAATGGGAGAATTCACACACACACACACAGAGAGAGAGAGATACACAGAGAACCTATACAAATTATAACATCAATTAATGGATGATCATGTGAGAGTGATCCATCGAGTTGTCTAGGACAACTCGCCATGGCCAACTCGCCGTGGGACAAGAGTTACACTAATATCGGGACAAGAGTTACACTCATTTCTTCGATATGGTGGAATAGAATTATATAAAGAAAGGATACTAAAGGAGGGACAAGATGAAAAGTGAAGGAAAAACATTTAAATATTTTTAAAATTGTTTTAAATAATTGAATTGTTGAAGTGTCCCACAATGCGTTGTCCCATGGTGAGTTGGCTGTGACAAGTGTCCTACGGGGAGTTGGTCATGGGTAATCATCCCACTCTGATCAAGGATCCACTCCAGGGGCGGGTTTTAAAACCTGTTGCTACCGGTTCGCTCATGGGCGCGATGCTTCTGCATATGTGCAGAAGCATCCGGGCGGGTGAGCGGAACCTCCTGCCGCCGCCGCTACCGGTTCGCCCAATCCGGGGCGAACCGGTAGCAACTCATCACTGATCCATTCCCACAGAACAGAAGGTTTATCATGCCAATGCATGCACAGGGCTAATCAATGGCATTACTTCTCCTGTGCAGTTGTGAATCAACTACTGAGCAATCCAAGAATAAGAGATGGCTGGTTGAACATCTGCTACTTTCAGGGAAATATGCTGAGGACTGATACATTGGTTTAGAAAAGGTGGGACCAATTTCGGTTCTATTATGTGTCCAAGACTGGTTTTAATGAACTCTATTACAGGGTAAGCAAATGGATATAAAATGGGGAAATTCATAACTGAAATATTACGGATGCCTGTTTTATGGATTCCAGCAAAAACAGAACAGAAAAAGATTTAGGAAGTTTTAGAAGAATTAATGGCCTCTAAAGTCCAGCATAACAAGAAAGAGGTAAATATGTACACCATCTTTATTGCATAAGTGTGCTGAGAAATCTTTTTTTTTTTTTTCACTTCAAGGAGCTTCATTTTTTTTTTTTTAAATCCCTCCTCTTTCCAGTCTGTTCAGCTGGCTTAGGAAATTGTTGGGCAGGATGATATTCTGCAGTGTTTTAACAGGGGGGAAAAAATGAATCATGACAACAACAACAGCAACAACAACAGCAACAACAACAACCAAATTAAAAAAAATAATAAGAAGCAGCAGCAGCAGCAAACGAAGAGAAAGCTCTCGAAGGACTTGTTCTTTTCTACGGTTTATGACATCCAGTCTTCAAAATATGCAGAAATTCTTCAGGAGAAAAAAAGTGGGATGGTTGAGAAAAAAATAAAAATAAAAATAAAATACAAGCCATAAATACTTTTGAAAACGACGCGGGTTAGAAAATAATGCCCAATCTCGATGCATTTCGGCTTTTTATCCTCAGCAAAAGGTAATAATGCCTTGGGTCTGTGCTGGACAGCCTGCTTAAGGTGGGAAGGAAGATTGTAGCATTCTCGTTCCTGCTTCTTTGTGAATAGGGGACAACGCCAAATGCCCCTTTTGTGCTAACACCATCAAAACAGGATTCAGTCCTGCTGAATGCACTGTAGTTAAAAGAGAGCCAGCTCTTGAAATTTCATAGGCATATATATATATATGAATATATATATTCATATATATATATTTATATTTATATATATATAGACAAGGTAGCATTTTTTTTCAGACCAACATGTGCCTTCGGCGGTGCAATGCCAAGTGATCTGAGCGGGAAAAGCTTCGGTCACAGTCCGCGCACTTGAACGGCTTCACTCCTGTGTGTTTGCGGTAGTGCCTCGTTAGTTCATCGGAGCGAGCAAATTTCCACGTGCACCCTTCCCAGGTACATTTGTACGGTTTCTCTCCTAGGGGAGGGAGCAAAAGAGAGAAAGAGAAAGAGGGATTCGTTATTGGACTCAGAGAGAGCGGTAGGCGATATCCTGAAAATCCAGAATGATCAGAGAAACTTTATTGCAAAATTAAACATCCAGAAAGCACACGCAGGCAGAGGATTCATTAACTTCTTTTTTTATATACATAATAACACATGAAGCAAATTTACAATACCAACAGCAGATTTCTTCCAATGTAGTAGAGGGGAAAGATGGTAAGTAAGTTCTTAGTTTCAGTTCAGCAGAGCAGATAAGCTCAGACTAGTTTGCAGCTTCAGAGCTCAGAGCTACAGAGCCACGCCCAGGCTCCTTCCAGTTTCAGTTTCTAAACAGTCCTCATTGGCTGACCCAGTTGCCATTCCTATTCATTGGCTGACCTTGTTACCATGTCTTTCCAGTCATGAATATTCTGACAAAACGCAAGTTTGCATAGAGTTTAGTTATTTAAGAGGCTTATTTGGCCAGTGATGAAATGAGCTGGGTCACAGCAGCAGTGATAGCAATAGCAATAGCACTTTGACTTATATATTGCTTTACAGTGCTTTACGGCCCTCTTTAAGTGGTTTTACAGAGTCAGCCTAATTGCCCCCAACAATCTGGGTCCTCATTTTACCCACCTGGGAAGGATGGAAGGCTGAGTCAACCTTGAGCCTGGTGAGATTCGAACTACCAAATTGTAGGCAGCCGGCTGTCAGCAGAAGTAGCCTGCAGTACTTCAGTCTAACCACTGCACCACTACAGCTCTTGTGAACATTGGTGAATGTGAATATTCTAGTACCATAAGAGAGACAATTGTTGACAATAAAGTACAGAGTCAGCCTATTGCCCCCAACAATCTGGGTCCTCATTTACCGACCTTAGAAGGCTGAGTCAACCTTGAGCCTGGTGAGATTTGAACTGCCAAACTGCAGTCAGCCGGCAGTCAGCAGAAGTAGCCTGCAGTACTGTACTCTAACCACTGCACCACCGTGGCTCAATAAGAACATAAAAGCAATAAAAACCAACATCAACTCTCCCGCAACTCGTAGCATGCTAAAACTGCACTCCCAGACTCCTAAAAAACATAATTGTTGGGCTCCAGCCTCAACTTGTCCCAATTGAAAGGTAAAGGTTTCCCTGTCCAGTTGTGTCTGACTGAAGAGCACAGTGCTCATCTCTGTTTCTTGGCCGAGCGAGCCAGTGTTGTCAGAAGACATTTTCCATGGTCATGTGGCCAGCATGGCTATGCTCCAAGGGTTCATGGACTTCCCCATCAAAGCAGTACCTATTTATCTACTTGCATTTGCATGATTTCAAACTGCTAGGTTGGCAGGAGCTGGGGCAAATAACTGGCGTTCACCCGTTGCAAGGCGCTCAGGTCTTGAACCTGGGGTATCGGCTTTCCAGCTGATAAACTCCATGTCTTTAACTGCTGAACCATTACACACACACACACACACACACACCAGTCCCAACACTTGGGGGTTATAGTTCAACAACCTTCCAAATTTGGATTTATGTTGCTATGACTATGCCGTTGAAGTCAAAACCAGTCACAATCATGAAGTGGCTCCATGGGACATCTGGCATTGATTTCACCTATGTAGTACCATCCAATGTTGGAAAAGAACTGCAAGAGATCCATCATAATGGAAACTCAACTGTTAATAGGCTAATCCCAGCAGCTTTGACCACTAAGCCTGTTGACCGGGAGGATGAGATTTGCCAGCCAATAGCATCTTGGGATTCTGAGCTGGGTAAGACAGGGAGGGTGAGACTCCCATATCCTCAGAAACAGAGGTGGGTTTCAGCAGGTTCTGACCAGTTCTGGAGAACCAGTAGCGGAAATTTTGAGTAGTTCGGAGAACAGGTAAATACCACCTCCGACTGGCCCTATCCCCATCTATTCTCTGCCTCCCGAGTCCCAGCTGATTGGGAGGAAATGGGGATTTTGCAGTAACCTTCCCTTGGAGTGGGGAGGGAATGGAGATATTACAGTAACCTTTCCCTGCCATGCCCACCAAGCCATGCCTACCAAGTCATGCCACACCCGCCAAGCCATGCCCACAGAACCAGTAGTATGCCACCACTGCTCAATACTTCAAATACTTTTTGAAGTATTCCCAGAGTTGGTCTTTGCTCTTCTTCTGAGAACACTGTCTTTTCCCTTTTCTTGTGATTTCTGCTTGAAAGCCAACAAAAGCTGGACTGGCAATAATTGAATAATCCAGATTTCCTCAAAACTTCAAGAATAATAAGCAAGACACAGGCTGGGATTTCTATCATTAGCATTGCACAACTGTCCGTCAGGGAAATAAAACAGTTGCTTCTGAGAACACCAGTTTTAGTGGTGAGATCCTGGATTGAAATGACCGCAATGCATTAATAGTAGCAACAGCGTGGGCTGCGGCCCTGCCGTGGAGAGCTTCTCCTTTCCAATAGCCAAATATGGACAGATGGTTGGGATATTTTAATTTGTATCTGGAGGTCCAACGGAACAGGGTGCAGGGATTTAGCAGCTGGAAGAACAGGCCTAAACTCCTTGACAGATGGCAAGCTCTTTTTGACATGTATTGTGACATACCCTCACCACAAACAGCTGGCCAGCTATGCCACACAAATGAATCAGGATTTCATATGACTTTAGAGTCCTTTAGAGGCAACCTAAGGAAGGAGCAATGCAAATCAAGAGGGAAATATAAACACTAAGGTATCCGTAGCTCAAGTATTTAGACTAAAATGATCAAATATCTCCAGTATAGATTAGTTAATCGGACGCTCATCCATTTGTTCTTAAGTTAGAAATGTAAATGGCATGGTCATGGCATAGCAGGGACTGAAATTAAGGGGGGAAATTAAATTTCCTTCTATTGAACTTATCTCCTGGTGATTCCTTGACCACATCAATACAGATTTCATATCAATAATATCGTGGTGGCTTCCTGGGATGGTTTTTGACTTTCCTGGAGGTCTCATACTGTTGTCACAATATTAACAGTAGAGAACTTCAAGTTTCTAGATTCTATCATATCTCAAGACTTAAAATGGACACCTAATATCAAAAATGTCATCAAAAAAGCACAGGAAAGAATGTTCTTTCTGCGCCAACTCAGAAAGCTCAGACTGCCCAAGGAGCTGCTGATTCAGTTCTACAGAGGAATTATTGAGTCTGTCATCTTCACCTCTATAACTGTCTGGTTTGGCTCTGCAACCCAACAAGACAGACACAGACTTCAGAGGATAATTAGAACCGCAGAAAACACAATGGCTACCAACCTGCCTTCCATTGAGGACCTGTATACTGCACGAGTCAAAAAGAGGGCTATGAAAATATTTACAGACTCCTTGCATCCTGGATATAAACTGTTTCAACTCCTACCCTCAAAACTACGCTATAGAGCACTGCACCCCAGAACAACTAGACACAAGGACAGTTTTTTCCCGAACGCCATCACTCTGCTTAACAACTAATTCCCTCAACACTGTCAAACTATTTAGTAAGACTGTATTACTATTATTCTGCTCATCTTTCCTATTACCTATCTCCTTTCCTACTTACGACTATAACTTTATTGCTTGTAACTTTACAATTTATATTGTTTTATTTAGTTTCCTAGTATGATTTATGTTGATTGCTTATTTAGTATGCTATGATTATCACTAAGTGTTGATTTATGATGGATGTGTGTTGATTTATGATGAGTGTATTTTTATGATGACTATGATCATGATTTATCACTTATAGCTTTTATGTACATTGAGAGTTTATTCACCGAAGACAAATTCCTTGTGCGTCCAATCACACTTGGCCAATAAAGAATTCTATTCTATTCTATTCTATTCTATTCTATTCTATTCTATTCTATTCTATTCTATTCTGTTCTGTTCTGTTCTGTTCTGTTCTGTTCTGTTCTGTTGTTCTGTTCTGTTCTGCCCTGCCCTGCCCTGCCCTGCCCTGCCCTGCCCTGCCCTGCCCTGCCCTGCCCTGCCCTACCCTACCCTACCCTACTCTATTCTATTCTCCAACCAAGTCTAACCAAGCTTGTCTCTGCTTAGCTAGTGAGCCCCACAAGGTTAGTCAGATAATGCTACCTGTTCACCAGAATCTATCTAATCAATCATACGTTTAATGGGAAGGAACCAATAAAGACTGGCTTCTTAACAAGCCTCTTCCTGTCCATTTGTCCCTATGTTGTATATATATTTATGCTGACAGTGCATGAAAAGCCTGACTTTATCAAATGAAGGCGATTCTTGCTCCAATTTCTCTTTTCCAACAGGGACCAGTGAAAAAGCTCACCAACTAGTGATGCTTCTTGATGGTGGTTTGCTAGGAAGTTGCATTTGTATAGATTCTGCCTCTATGCATTTAATTTTCTGTTCTTTTATTACTATAGTTAGTTAGTGCTACGGTATTGCTACAGTTATAGACACACCTATCTATGAGTCTGTTCAAATGTTGTTTGAAGGTGATCCCGAATGCAAATCCTGAATTAGATGAAGAAACAGGTGTTATCTGTCCCTACATCCTTACCTATCAGATCTACTGAGGGAGTCCGCACACAAGGCATGTGATAACTTGTAAGGTTGTTGTAACAGAGTTACCTTACGCCAAAGGTTCATCTGAACCCAAGTGGAAGTTCACCGATTATACAGACTAGAGCTTATGAGAAATTCGGATTTGCAATAAATGGATAAGAGAATTTTGTCTTTGAAATTGTCAGGTTTTCTAGTCATCTTTGCTACAACCGAATTTCTTTCAGTACAGATGGTCTCCTCTTCATCACATCAGAAATTTTGAAAATTTAGTGAAAAATAAAATGGTGCTAATGCTAATAGCAATAGCACTCAGACTTATACACCCTTCACAGTGTTTTTACAGCACTCTCTAAGCGGTTTACAAAGTCAGCATACTGCCCCCCCAACATGCTGGGTCCTTATTTTAAAGACCCCAGAAGCATGGAAGCCTCTATCAGTCAGAATCGAACTTCTGT